AGGACTACTGGATCGCGGGAAGTGTCTTTAAAAGTTATTCAATGAATCGACCTTGAGGAAAAATCCGCGGTTACATATCGTGGGTAGCGGCGTTCAATAACGAACCTATTGTCGCTAAGTGACTCTCTACGGAAGAATAAAGCAAAAAAAAGCATGGAGAACATCGTAAGGACCCCTGGCAGCATCATTGTACAGGTTCACCGGACCTGCTCGTTTCATGCCAGCAAAGCGATATCCTGCCACCTGTGGCTCACGAATCTTTTCTCTGCGTCATCCAAGCTAATACCGTCTGACAGTAGAAAGAACCAGAAGCACGGTGTAAAAAGTGAACTCGTGATAGAAAGTAGCCTTTGAGTTGTGGGTGGGTGCTGTGACTAGCGAGGCGTCAGAACTGCCACTTTTGAGGGCCATAGCACCTTCGTTACTTACTGTAAGGCAGCGTTCAGACTTCGCGACGGCAGCGCCTCGGTCGCGCGTTCGGCGTGATGCCTCAAGCAGCAAGTGGGACGACTTAGAGAATGCTCACCAGACTACTCGAACGAGAAAGGATGCATACGAGTTGGTCGAACGCGGGGACTTAATTAAAATTCAGATGAACCAGCCCAATACCTACATACACCTCATGAGCTCAAGCTCAATTCTGCTCAATTACGGAAACGAAGGCACTGAGTGGCCTGTTGCTAATAAAACAAAAGTAACTATAGAAAATACACAGAATGAGGCGGACAATAATAAGATGACGGAATTCCACGAACAAGTCGCTACCATCTCACGTAGACTTGCGGTGAGCGTGTCTCTGAATGAAGGGACATTACCACAAATTAGTTTTTCTGCTTCTATACTTCTGCCTCAAGATTGCTAGATGGACGGATCTAATGAGGTAATCATAGGAAACTGCAGTCCCTAGCGCCCTTGCGACGTATTTTCGAAAGGTAGCAGAGCCTCTGCCTTCGGTATCACTGAGCTGATATGAAATTGTAAGTGAAGATTTTGAGCAATTGTTGAAATCAAATAATCACAGCAGAGCGCAAACTGTCGAAAACACTTTGATGTAGTCATAATACGACGGGGCGGTGTCACGAGGCGTAGAATGAGCCAGCAACGTTTTCTATCCTGAACCGGCAACTATTGGTAGGAAGCCAAAAGGAGGCTTCCTATCAACCAATAAAGGAGGCGTAGCCTCATGCTACGCCTCCTGACACCGCGACGACATTCGTCATTTCCACAGTGTTTCCCTTTTTATCCTCGAAAAAAAAAACAGAAATAAATTGGGTACCCTCAGGAAACAATGGGCATTGCCGACTGTATAAAGGGATATAAATGACTATATGGCCATCTGGTCAGTGCACAGTCCAATTTTCGGAGAGCCAGCCATATGTCCTCATCGGAATTTTGTCGAAAAAAATTCGTTAATAACACGTCGCCGATGCAGCCGGCAGACTTCCACTATATGTTGATTAACATTACTATTTTTAATAATTCAACAGCAGTAACTTCTATTAACTAGTAACTCATATATCGGGAACAGAGGGAAAG